AGGCCAAAGATGCTCTATTGAAGAAGAATTAGCAGGGTACTGCACTACTGGTGTGTCCCTAAGACTCTAAATACTTTACTAACTTGTAATTTATGCATGTGACCATTATTACCTATGTATCCATTTTTTATGTTTTAATCCTCCACATTTTCAAGGCATAGCTGATCATACCTCTCTCACACACACAGACACACACACACAGAGCCCTTTTAAGAGAAGACATGAGCAGCCAATCAGGACTGAGAGTAAGAGAGGGAAAGAGATAGAGTGGCAGTGAGGGAGGGGAAGTCAATTAAACAAATGAGAGATTATATTCCCACTCAGGAGGAGAGAGAGAGAGTGAGCAAAGGCATTTGTGCCATAAAGGATTCTTAATGGAGCAGAATTTACACAACCTGCTGAGGTGAACAGATAAAAAAAAACAGCCACGGTAATTGAACAACAAGCATCTAATCTGCAGTCCTGAGCAGGTTAAAACCCCCGCACAATGTGCCGAGTGGCTTTCACCCTTCACCGTTTTATGGTGCCACCTCCCGCTCCACTCCACCCTTCCTTCTTAGTCATCAATAAAAACACATTCATGCGCTGACTGAAAAAGGCAAACAAACAACAAAACAAAAAGCTATTTTCGGACGCTACTTAGATCATCAATAATTGAAAAACTTCAACACCAAATGCGTCAGTGGTTTTCGGGAGGATGCCTAAGCGAGGGATTTCAGTGGGTTTTGTGTCGCGTGGTTGAAATCCTGGAAAAGCAGACCAGACTGTTTGCATGACCGAGGTGAGAAAGTAGATTAGCTGACTTAGACCGGGTTCAGATGGAGGGAAAACTGCAAGGATAGAGGGAACACATTCAATAAACAAGCTGCCTGGGCCAAATGAGTTTCATAATGTCAAAAAGGCAATTCACCTTTTATGTAAAGCTTGCAAGCTGCATTCTGTGTGCAGCACCGTGAGCACAAGGATGCATGAAGAATGAACCACGGCCAGATACAGTAGATATTTCAAACTGTATTTTCGGCAGATCACTCAAACCATCAGTAGAAAGGTTACGGGGAACATTAGGATGCGAGTCCTGTTGTGGGTATCTCCCTCCACATCTATAAATAATGTGGCTTTAGGCTCAAGCTCTCATGAACAGAAACCATCACTGGTGCTCGTGCCCTACAAGGTTAAAGTGAAGGGATTCCCACACGTCATGGAGACAGAAGGCTTCATCTGGCAAAGATTCATGAGAAGATTACTTTGTGAAGCTACTGTTCAGATCAAAGGCACGGAGGAAAAAAAAGAAGTTGCTTTCCGCTTCCCTGTCAGATTAATGATAATTTCTTTCCAGGCATAAATAACGCGTTATCAAAAGCTGCAACAAGATTTGCACGCATTAAAGTGGTCTCTCATTCATTCAATTACTGCAGTGATGTGTATTTGTGTGAGTTTACAACCACATGTGCAGCTTGCAAGAAAGACACCTTAAAGTGGTTTAGTGTTGAAGTTGCAAGAGACAAATTTAAAAGAGAATGACCAAAACCGAAGCAGCGGAGGCTGAAGATATCCTCACTTCTTGTCCCTGGTTTGGGTAAAGCTCCATGAACACTTGACGCTACGCTTTCTGCACCTTTATTTTGTAACGCAGGTTTCCTTAGAAAAACATCAGAATTAACCATTTTAGCACGTCATCAAAAATGCCATATGTTTACGTCCAAGCGACAAAGCCCTCGAAAGCACTAGTTTCTCAAAAACTCAATTAAACTGGCAGGAGGGTCAGAACAGAGCTCCTCATAAAACAACGACTTGTGAAGACATTTCTCTCCACCTCACTAATACTGATGCCCGAGGTCAAGTCTAAAAACTCTAAATAATACATGACCGGTATATTTTCACCCTCCTTAGAACCATCAATCACTCTGGCTGATCAGTGCTGGGTCTTCATTTTCCTGTCCGTCCACATGGACTATTACTGAACATTTCAGGCTGGGGTTACTAAGATGGAGTGTGACAGCCAAGATCAAGAGATGACATGGCTTGTTGGGTTTCCACAGTACTAGCATTAGTTGGCACAATGCAGTGGGACCTGGTTGGGGACTGGTAGTCTGGCACACTGGAGTTCCACGGCCCCAAAGGACCTGCTGCTGGGATGAATTATTACGGGCAAAAACATGTGATGGTCTATATGTGGCACTGCCAATGGTGGAAATGGGTTAGAGGTCAAAGGTGAGGGGAAACACTGAAACCGATCCCTCTGAATGTAGTCGCTCATCTGCCAAGCTCATAGGGAAGGTTTGGGAAGTTTTACAAGCAGGTGTAGCAAAAAGAAGCGATTCAAAGGTGACAAAGAGTTATTTTACCGTGAGTGAGCGAAGGGACCATAACAAGACACTTAGCATTTAGCGCACCATTTGAACCAGAGCCTCGGCAAACGCAAGAACCTGCACTGTCGTCTCAGCAACGGACCGGGTTGGTGAAAGGAGAAATTCTTATTCACAGAGGTTTCCAGGAACACTATTGTCTCTTTTAACAAGTTACCGCAACCTTAGAATTCCTCCATCCCTTTCTTTCTTAGTTTTTTTAGTTGAGTCTGTTCATCTAACTAATGCCAATTTTCCAGGAAAGGAGGGGAGAGGAGAGGAGAAACTGAATTAGCATACAGCTGTTAAGAAGTGTCTCTTCCACAGCAGCCAGTTGAAATACAGATGTAAAACAGTTTACAATAGTGCAACCTGAGCCGTTTAGAGGGCAGGATGTTAAAGTTACACAAGATATTTATCTAGAGGGGAAATCTGTCTCTATGAGGATGCATCTTGTGTGCAGCTGTGACCGAAAACAAGGAGGGGTGAGGAGTGTGGTGGGAAATGAATGGGTGCCCATGGAGAGACATTACAGTGGAGAGCTACTTCACCCCTTTCCCCATTCCCGCTCCAACACACACCTGTGACGAGAGGCTCTCTGGAGGCAACGCATCTGTTTCAGCGTCCCCCATTACAATGCAGGACCAATTAAAGGTTCAGTGGAAGTTAGCAAAGCGCCCTACACACAGCAGTGTACGGCTTAATTTAATTACGTACAATAGATCAACGCCGCCTTAATTGAGCTTCACGGTACAATTCATTTTCCCCACGCATGGTACAGCTCTCAGCACGGCGAGCGCCTCACATGTAATTAATCAAAACAAGTGCACGGCTCAGGATGATGCTGTATCATGGGAATGATGCACTCTGCTAGACATATGTGCACTCAACACACATCATGTCAAAGTGGAAGGATTTTTTTAAATATATTTAGGTACATTTTGCAATCTGTTAAGACAGCGGCAACATAAAACAGGACATCACAGAGGTGGCTCGCTTCCAAAGTCAGTCCAGCTCCGTCTTTGAGGCCGTGGCATCTGAAACATGATCTGGGCACCTCAGAAGGGCCTGCCCTGCCTCTCTGACAGAGAAATAACAATAATGGCATGGCTGCCATCCACTCTGACGCCCAGTAACATCAGGGAGAATGTCACCCGCTACTACCCTGCAAAGGACATGGCTCTTAATGAGAAACACACAGAAACAAACATGTTACTTCTGTCTGTTGTGAGTGCAAAGACATGTTTGCAGTCCCATGGGAACGGAAAAGGCAGAAGTAAATAGAGAGAAGTGAAAGAGCTGAAGGGCAGCGCGAGACTAGCCTTTGCTGATCCGCACTCACTAATGTGCCAACGTTATATGACGAGAACACGTATGAGATGTTCTGCAGTGGGCTTTCCCCGTTCTAAACACATGATGGCATTGGCAGGAAGACTGCTGCTCTTTTCTAAACAATGACGGTGAAAGCACGACCCGGTCCAAAAGAGCTCCCACACATAATGTTCTGTCCACTGCCAGGAGCAACTGGAGGACAGCTGCTGTGGCATAACTGTCCTGGGCTTCACTTGAAAAGACAGCGACATACACAGACACTCTTACAAAACTGGAAATAATCACGGAGGGAACTTTGACTTTTTTCAACACTACCAAGTGTTTCGATTAAGTTGTTAAAGAGGTTACATTTAAATCTGACACGGGTGCACATTCAACCAAATGACAATTCAGAACAGTTTGGTTTGGACAAATACGTGCTGCATGTTATTCCTGGGCTGTTTGGAACAGCCCAGGAAGCTACCAGTGAGCTTGTACTTTTCCAGTGTTTACATGTTGTATACATTATAGAGCATATGGCACACGGGTACTTTGAATGGTAAATGGACTGTACTTGTTTTGCGGTTTTCTAGGCTTCCGACCACTCAAAGCGCTTTAACACTACATGTCATTCACACCCGTTCATTCACTGATGGCAGGGGCTACCGTGCAAGGTGCCACCTGTCCATCAGGACTAACTAACACTCATACCCATTCATACACAGCTACGGGAGCAACTTGGGGTTAAGCATCAGTGACAGAATACTTTCTACAGTTGCTTCAGTTTGAGTATGTTTAGTGCAAGATTATTCTTCACATGGTTAAAAAGCCATCATGTAATTATTCATTCAGAATGAATTCAAGTGTTTTTTTTACTAAGACATTATTTACTTCACTTGTTCATAAAAATACTGCAACAAAAAAGTTCAGTCTCAATAAAGTTTTTAACCACACTTACAGTGAGAACACTGTTATTTTTCACTTTCAAATTCACTTTATCCAGGGTCCTCCTGATGATTTAATCAGACACAGAGGAGGGGAATTAAACAGGAGACCCCGTGTTGTGATGATGAATGACATGTAACTCTGCTAACTACCGCATAAGCAACTCTGCCTGGTTAATTGGTAAATACATCAAATGACTGCTGCCGTACACTGATCAAAACACATGATTGGAAACTAGTGTAATGTCGCCTATCTCGCAGCACGTGGCTTCGCTCACTGACTTTATTAATCTTTATAAAGTTTTTAGCTGATAAAAAGCCAAATGTTGAGTTTTGACATACGCTTCATTTGGTCACTCACCACAGTAAAAACAAACGATGACGATGACGGCACACTTACATGAACGCATGGTAGATGAAAGCCCATCCTCTTGGTCTTTCCAGCACGTTGTACATGCAGTTTTGAAACTTTCTGAAGCGTTTGTTTGAAGGAGGGGTGTTGGCCCGGAATCCAGGCCGCCCGGGCAGCGGGGTGCCCAGCAGACCCGTGCGGTGAGACGCGTGTCCGCGCTCCGGGCTGGACGGTTCGCTTCTCTCCGTGTGAACAGCGGCGAGAGCCACAAACTCTACCCGCCTGTCGTCGTTCGAAGCCGGGGGCACGAGCATTCTGATGCCGCCGTTCTTTGACGGACTTTCTAACATCCTCAGCTTGGCACGATTAAACTATCCGGTAGGATTTGACACTTTTCACTGGATCATCCGCAGGAGCGCAGAGCAAAGTTTTGACCAAGTCATAGTCCGGTTTGTCTTTCCTATAAAGTGGACTAAAACGACTCTGCTGGTCAAAACACATGAGTGAATAACATCCCCTGCTGTCTCGGTTTAATTACTTCAGATGTAAAAGTTATCTGTAAATCAAGTCACGGTTGCAAAAGAACAGATGCATATTACTTAAATAAGTGCGTCGCACTAAAACGTGACCTTCAGCGACCATTGTTAAGAGTCAAATGTGAGAGGTAATCAGCGGGGTGCAGACGAGTAATTACGCATGCACTAACTCCGAGAACAGAGTAAAACACCCGACACCCCTTTGCAGAAGTAGCCCAAACTGAACCCAATCAAGTAACGCGTATTACCATAAATACACTTGGAACGTGCAGTCATAAATCACTAAAAAAGCCACAGAGCAGGTGAGCGCAATGCTCGTGCGGTGAATCTGTGTCCGTCAAAACCAACGGTGTCCAAGTCTTTCATTAAGTTGAACTGTTCTTGTAGTTTGAATTGTCAGAGCGAGACTCGCCCAGTCGCTAATACATCAGCCTGCTCTCCCCTTCTGGTGCGTCTCTCTGGTCCAGCGCTCGTGCGCTCCGGCAGGCGGGGTGGAGCGCGCAGAAGTGAAGACCATCAGCATGATGTCAAGGAATCGCAGAGGACCAACTCTAAAAAGCTCTGCTGAAAATGACAAATAAACGCTTGCCGGTGTACGCATGTGGTTTGCAAACGCTTACAGAGATGAAAACTCTCTCTCACGCTCACTCCCTGTAGAGTTAAGGTTCAGAAACAGAAGCGCGGGCGAGAGGCGAGGACGCGATGGGTAGACGCGTGGGATGCACGCAGTGACGGGGAGAGGATGCCCGGGCGGTGGTTTTCTTGTTTATGAAGCTTTCCCGGAAGAATTAGGTTTATAGAACTTATAACTATCATAAGAACTGCTGCTTGTGCATATATACGTAAATGCTTAAATTACAAATTATCTGGAGAGGATCCAAGCGCATCAGCTACCTTCCTTAATATTTCCAAAACATACTTTTTAAGGGTCAAAGATTTTAGGAACAAAAGTTTATTTTGTGAAATGAAAATGTCAGAAATGTGTTTGTTGTGGGAGGGGGCTCGATGCCACGGCTACATTCGTTTGGGACAGCAGAGACAGGTGCAGGGGAACACAGCGACAGCACCTCGGCGCACGGAGTTTTCTAAATCTATGACTGTGACACACACAGAGGCTTGTGGTTATGACACAAATACAAGCGTTATGGAGCACTGTGCCCTGCGGAGACATCACCTGTCAAGGGGGCCTCCGAGGAATGCATTGTTGAGGTGGTCCCCCAAACTCCCGCTGGCCTCAGTGTATCATCTGACCACCAAAACTGACATCAGCAAATGCCAAAGGTAATTCACAATTATGCATGTCTTTGAGCCAATGTCTCTTCTCAGATAAAAACAGACTACTAGGTACTGAAAGTGTAAATTCTTGCTGAGGACAAGACATGAGGAGTTCAGAGGAACAAACCTGCTCTCTTTTTCCAGCACCTCATCACTCACATCTCCGGTCCCCGCACTCGAGTGTGACTCATTACTCAATGATATCACTGCCTTGATAGTTAAGCAGAAGATATGAAAGTAATTGCTGAATATAAATACACATTATTGCATGCATCAAACAGAGGAACTGACCCATCATAGACATGCGTTCAGTGTTAACGTTCTACAGTGTTACACAACAACAGGAAGGTCACTCATGTCTACTATGTGCGTTCATCGTGGCTGCTGCTGCTGCTGCTGCTTATGGATCATGCCGGTCTGTGGAATGGTGAGGGGGAATGCAGCTGGAGTCTCTCACAAGTCACTAACCTACACATTATTCCCAGGGCCCGCTCCCATTACATAGCTTAACACCACTAATCCTTAACTCTTTACTTAGAGTCACACATATTGACTGATGGACTCACTGGTGCCTATAAGATGGGATCAACTGTTGACGGCTGCACTTCTAACAGCAATGTTTTAATACGGTTTTCAGACTGGTTAACATGACAAATCAGTCTGAAATGTGAGGTGACATTTTACAAATGGATCTTGTTTATTGAAAGTATATATCCTGTTATCTGTTGTTTTGTTTGTTTGTATATAAAAACACAATATTTGAGCAGACTTCAGCTGCAACTAATATTTATTTTCGTAGACGATTTCAATAAGAGTCAATAAGATACTTATTGATTAAATGTTAGGGTCAAAATGTCTGCCCGTAGTGAAAGTTGTCCTTTACAATTTCTCAGAGCTCAAAATGAGGTCTTAGAAATGTCTTGTTTTATCAGACCAACAGTCCAAACCCCAAAGATGCTCAATTTACCGTGACATAAAACAGATAAAAGCAATAAATCCTCACATTTCAGAAGCTGTTTGTCATTTTAGCTTTAAACAATTAATCAATCACTGTTAAGTAATTTTATGAAAATCGTAATAAATAGATTAATTCTATGGTTGTTTCAGTTTACTAGACTTGACTATAAACGAGGGAAGCAGAGTATGCTAAATTGCTGAGTGCATAAATAAATAACCAATTTTAAAGGCACAATCCATCTAATAAAGGTTAACAAAAGTGTCACCCCATCATGGTTCCAGACCTCTGAATTGCTTCTCCGATCCCTGATTATTTTAAACAGCAAAATTACAATTCAGTCCGATTATCAGTTAGATGTCGCCTCAACACCAAAAGGCAAATGACAACAATGGAACCAGCTATCCAGCCCAAACTTACTGTTTGTTCTGGACGACAACTGAATCAACCTGACTCAAGTTCTGGTGCTGCTAGGAGGTTTACTTCAGGGGTGTTAGGAAATACAGGAGTGAAACCATCTTGTATTTTGGATTATGATCAGTTGAAAATCACATAAACTGCTGATATTGAATCTATAAATGAAACTCTTGACTTATCAGTGAATTTACATGCTGAAAAAAGCAAAGGTGAAATTCACACCTACAGGTGTAAACAAAGGTTTTCAACCTAGAATAATAATGTAATGTAAATGACAGAAAGATAAGGGACAGGGGATCTAATTTGAGAAGGTCATCTAATAGTAGAGTCTTGTGGAGCCTAACCACCCAGTGATGAAAGGAGGAGGTCTGAACTAAACATCAACACAACGGCATCCTGTACTGGGAATCTCCCGCTACAGCTCCCTCTCCCTCAGCGTGGTTTCCTCTGCTCCTATAAGCAGTCCAAACCAGGCCAGGGGGGCGACGGAGGAGGAAGGTGCCAACGGACAGGCCGGCCCTGCTCTTACCCTCAGGGATTTACATCAAAGCTCCACAGAGGCAAAAACCATGCACTCTTTCTATTACAGTACCAGCCCTGCTGCAGTGTTGCTTTCACCCAGTAATCAACACTCGGGGCTGGGCAGAGTATCCAACGTGGCCTTTGGGATAACGGCCGCCCAGTGACAACACACAACAGCTGAGCAAGGTCAGACTGTAAAATGTGAATGTGGAACGGGTGGCTGGATGGACAAAAGTATACAACCAGACCACAAGGAAGGGCGCAAACTCTCATATACACAGATCTGATGGTAGTCAGGGTGGAATCATAGTCGGGCACCACCCAGGGCGGACTACAGGGGCCCAGTGTTAGCAGGCGGTTGTTGTGTTCCCTTCACGCCCACCTTTTTTCCTCGCTGTTGTTTTTCCACTGCACTTCTCACTCCGAGCATTCACTCACGCCCCAAAGAGCCAGCTGAGCTACGGGAGTCGACAGCCACTCAGGGAATCTATGGGAACTTTAAAATACTCGCATCAGCAATTGTGAGCTATGCATAGTACGGTACAAACTCGCTGCGTCCGACCCCACCAACCTTCTGTTTCCGCTGTGCACTCAGACGTTTATTTACACCACTTAATGGCTTTCCCAGACCACACTTTTGTTTGTTTTTATTTCATCTTCTTTCTCTTCTTTTGTTTCCTCCCCTTTAACAGATTTTCTACATGGAAAACATCAGAGGGACTAAGAGCGGAGGACTGAATTGTTGATATAGTGTCTGTTGTCTTGGGTTTATGTTGTTGTGATACGGCTGGTTATAGTCTCAGGAGAGATGAAATGATGACATTGTGTCAAACGGTGCTGCGCTTGGAGCAGGAATCCCCCCCGGCTGAACAACGCACTGCAACCGTCGTGTAGACGCTGTAAAAATGTCAACTGACGTGCGGCAGTATTCCTGTGTTAATCAACCTGCCATTCTGCTTCATGAATATATTAAGTGTCGACCACCACATCCAGTGAGTGAGTCAGGAAATTACACTAGTTCCCTCAGTGGCCCATTCATGACCAGTCAAAGGATCCTTTGTAACTTACTACCACTCTGAGGGCTTTTACAGCAGTGACAGAGCATGCAGTGTGTTGTTAAAGTAACTGCAGGTTAGACACTACCTCACTTCAGTCAGGCAACAATAGTAATCACCGTCATCCCACGATGCGAGCTTTTCCCAGGTCCTGGCATTACAGTGTTGTGTAAGAGTAATGTCCAGTGATCCACATAGTGAAATCCTCTTCGTGTGCGTCTCCCTTCACAAGGAGCAGCAACAGACCGGTGACGTAGATCAACAAGTCTATCAATCAGCGCAATGAATTCGAGAGAAAACATTAAAGTTTGTTTACAAGGTTATTAAATAGTTTGATTCTCGACTAAAAGGGACTGACTCTATGTCCATGTATTCAGTCTGAATTGATTTTTTTTTAAAAACTATATTATTTGCACAATGATAAATGATAAAACTACAGCTGCTGACATGGAGCCTTGAAGGTGAGTCCAACAGTTGAAGCGTGGCCTTCTTAATACACCACTGAATCATTCAGGACAATTAAGAAACATTGTGTTCATAAAGCAAAAGCCGCCCCAACTTAATCCTTCAGGAGGACCGACACTGTAGGAGTCGAGTACTGTACGAGATACTGCTGCGTGTGCGTGTTCGCTCTCTCTTTTTATAGCTCAGGGTTGTGTGGGTTAAAAGAAACTCTCCCGACACCTCAGCGAGGCAGAAAAGTGGATCAAACACAAAGTGGAGGTCCACTCCTGTTAGGGGGGGGGGGGGGGGTCGTCTGTGACTCGGTGTTGTGGCCCAATCACAAGGTCCAGACTGCAGCCAAAGGCAGTCAGCCCTAATTCATCTCGCCAAGGTTGCCTTGATCTGACCAGACGAGCCGGCCAAGAAAAATACCACCAGACAATCCTATTCATGCTCGACTTAAGCTCGAACATTCTCACAATCCTCGCTGCTCTTATTAGAAAGAGCCGAGCATGAGTCTGCACTCACTAGTGCCGTTATTGTTCAGTGATTAAGTCGATTAGGAAAGGGCCCTCTGGTTTGACTTATGTTTGCTTGTGGCTCCGACTACTGTGGCTTAACCAGAGAATTGAGTAGTTAGCGGGCACAGTGAGTGCGTGTGTGGAGGGGGAAAATACCTTTAAAAGTGATACTTGCAACTTTTGAGCTGACACGTCGTTAAATGTGAGACATTTTACTTGGTGTTAAGTGGGACATCTTGATCCCCGCCTTCATCTCTCTGCCTATCTAATTTTCTGTTTCACCATAAGTACTTGTCCTTTTAAGATTTAGGTCGGATAAGGAATGCAGTCTGATCTCGCAGGAGCTGAGCAGTCTCCAGCCAAATAACTCCTGACTCTATTGTTAACCGCTTGTCCTTTGTAGCACATGAAGCTTTTCCTGCACTCGAGGAGGGAGCGGCGGCGGCGTTCATATAGTTTGGCGATTGGTGGTTTGGGTGCATCGTGGGCACATATTGATTGCACATTTGTGCTATGCTTCTTAAACAATGCTCTTGGTGAAAAATTGTTAACCCCTTGTTCGGCAATAAATCAGGCGCCCTAACACGGGATATCAGAGGCATTTACGGTTTGTTAGATCAGTGCTGCCCTCTTATGGCCTTTTGGGGAAACAACACAAGCCTCACACTAACACCACCAATATTTTCTTCAACATTTAAAATACTTTTTTAACCCATTAGATACTTGTTACTATAAAAGCAACAAATAATTGATCATTTTGGTGGCTCTTGCGGAGAGTTGTGTCTACCTGGAAACACAGTAGGATGCTGACTGGTTGGTTCAAGTCTTATCTCTCGGAGTGCTGTTGCATTTCTCTCCTGTCTCTCTGTCTACTGTCCACACACTAGTAAAGTGCTTAATTCACCTAAAATAAAACAAATACAAACAGATTAGTACTTGAGGACAGACACTCAGAAAAACACTATAAAACAGGACTCTTAGACAAGTTATGTTTTTTTATTTTTTTCTCACAAACAAAGTTTGTTTACAAAAAGGAACATCAAAAATAAAAAGTGTACCTATCTATTGCATGTCATGCTGGCAGTTTGAACTACATGCAAAAACAACAATAATAAGAACATTGACAATAATCATTACTGTACAAAAAATGAACGAGAGGATATGAGGCCAAACATCTCAAAACCAAAAGAAAAACAATTTAATTTAAAAAAGGGAGTTCTATGAAAGGGTTTTTTTTGTTTGTTTTTGCTCCAGATGTTTTGAACATGACTTAAACCAGGACACAAGACTCAAGAGAGGGTTGAGTGAAGCTGTATAGAGGCAGAGAAGAGCGAATGAAAGGAGCAACGTGGAAGAGTAAAGACGACCGTCACACACACAGTTAACCTCTACAGTTTGAAGCCCCCGTACAACATAAAGTCATGCTCCATCGACAATGTGGAAAAACAACAAGAGAGAAACTACATGAAATCATTACAACCTCTTCCTCGTGATCCCTTAGATTGACGTTCTTTAAAAAGTGATATCTGAGGTATATGGCTTCACTTCATACATCAGCGATATGGAAAACAATAACGAGGGTATGATTGAGGAGGTGGAGGATCTCACGGCTACCTTCAACCACAGATGCATCAGGAGCACGTCGTGTGTAGAGAGAGACGGACACTTTCCCAATTGACTTCCAGATAAAGAGCAGAAAGGAAGGCGCCAGGAATAAAACACTTAAGTTGGAAAAACCTTAGAAGTTTTGAGATGGAAGTATAGTTGAGTCGGTCTGTGGAAAGACTGCCGTGGTGGCAGCGGATGCATATTTTCTCTACAAATGGTCGGTGACAGAAGTACAAAAAGCATGGATGCAACTTAACGTGTGATTTTGAGAGAGAGTCAATCCGGGTCCCTTTGTTGTTGTCGTTTTTTTAATCCGGTGTACTAAATTGATTACAAAGAGTGTTCTAAGATTTCAGGTCCCTCGTCTAGATGAGCAGTCCTTATAACTGAAGTTTGTCAAGCGTCCTTTGTCGTGGTTGGTGGCATCTGTTGGGCTGGTATGCGTGTTGCGCGTGTGTGGAGAAAGGGTTCCTTGTCGGGCTCACTCGGTGCTGACCTGCGTGACCTGTGCGTCGACTGTCTGGTTGGTGGACTGAATGAACATGGGCTGGGTCAGCTCCTGTCCTGCTGGCATCGTCACCTGCTGAATCTGATACAACTGCTGAAACAGAGAAACGAGAGAGAGAGAGAGAGAGGCTGAAGGTCTGCGGGTAGTTGGATTTAAGTGCAATGACATCTAACTACATGAGTGTACACAGGGTTGTTACAAGGTGCTAGTTGGGTTGTTTTTAAAATGAAATATCTGACCGTTTTAAACTTTTATTTATGACTTATGACAGATTTTGTGTTTTCTGCCTGATCTGTAACTCACTGTTATTTCTGCCTTTCTTGGCCGGTACAGTCTTGAAAAAGACATGTTTAACTAAATAAGGCTTTACTGGTTTAATTTGAGGTTAAATTAATTTGTTGTCAGCTGGTTCATAGCTAAATGTGTGCAGTTTAACAATGCTGACAAGCTAGAAATAAGGACAGTGAGTAAAATGAAAAGACATTTCGTTAAAAATGTCACTGTACCAGCGTTGACACACTGGACACACTCATTGCATTTGTTACCTGTCCGTCAGTAAACTGGTTGAATTGCTGCTGTCCTTGCTGTACGTCTGCCTGTGTGATCTGAAAGTTAAATTAAAGAAACACAAAGAATTGAAATGCTTGGAAATTACATCATTTATTTTATGAATGTAATTTTGTTGCTAACGTGCTCACCTGCTGAGCGTTGGCGAGAGTCTGGATCTGTCCCTGGACCACTTGAGCTCCAGACACAGGCTGGGCTAGACGGATGTATTGGAGCTGTCCCGTGTTTAGCTGCACCTACACTCATCCATCACAAGGGGGAGACAACGTTTGGTTTGGAGCAAAGGTTATTCAAACCCAGAGGTCACAGCCATTTTACTTCTCTGGAGAACCGCAGCGAGAATCATTCACGTTCCTCTGATGGATTGTTAACTTTGTAAAACGTGATTCCCATCAAACAGTGACGGATGGATAACTCACTAGAACACCGTGTTTGTGCAGTACCACAATGTCAAACATGCAGCAAATTTCACTCCCTGTTTTAGCTTCTTTGCTCCATCACAACTCCCTCCACCGATTCCCCGTTTAACCTTCTTTCTTACCGGGATTTGCTGGATCTCTCCTGTGTTGGTGATGATCTGCTGCATGACCTGCATGGTCTGGCCTTGGGCTTGCTGAGCTTGACCCTGGGCAGATGAAGTCTGGACAATTTGTACCTGTTGGCCCTCACCCACCTGCATCGCCACGGGTGCACTCTTAACAAAGAGGAAAGACGAGAAGACACGGACAGAAGGGGACAGAAGTAACGCATTACGGGCATGTTGTTTATGATTGACACAAAGCAAAGTACCAGGAAATCACTAACTTCCCTGGAATAAGACTTTAACCAGCACCATGAAGCTTGTGTATTCTTGAATTAAAAAAAAAAAAAAGTCTGTAAAAGATTATCAGGCAGGCATAAAAGATGTGGGGACGTGAGGCGACAACGCAGACCTCCCTTTGTCCTCCGTCTGTCACACAATCTAGGAGAGGCCACCTGATCTCACCCCTACAGGCCTCAGTCACCCGAGCAGGACGGAGCTTGTAGACAGCAGTCACCTACAGGGCACAAGTAGTGGCCTCTGTGTGTGTGTGTGTGTGTCTGTGTGTGTGTCGTGAGGGAACATAGAAATGCAAATGTGCATGTGTGTTTACCGTGATGGGTGTGCCCTGTGACTGCACCTGCACATGCTGTAACTGCTGCATGGTCGCACCTTGCAGCATCTGATGGCCCGACAGAATAGAATGAGAAAATGAGAGAAAGACACACAGTGAGAAAAGCAGCGATTGCAACAACTTAACACGTGGCTGTAGGCATGTGTGGAGTGTGTGTGTGCGTCGAACGCTTTGAATGTTAAGAGCAGCAAACAGTGACATACAAGTGGAAAATGACATTTAATGGCATGCTCATGAATGACAAAGAAGCTGAGGTGAAAGTGAGAAACAGGGGGAAAAAAATAACGGGGGGAAGTTTGGACAGATTTAGAAAAATGCATATACAGCACAGTGACATTTACAGCAGCTTAAGTAATGTCAGCTGTGGTTTCATAAGCAAATTATGAGAGAGTTAGTGACCTAAGAAAAGAGAAGTGGTACAACAGAGACAACTAGTGACATCGAAAGCTCTGCACACAGACACACAGCAGGAAATACTTAACAATTCATATTTTCTTTATTTATGCCTCTAACACTTTACTCCATAGACCAAATCTGTTGTGTCTGCGCCTGGTAGGTAGTGAAAAGGGAGAGGTGGTGTACAACAAAACATATACGCTACGCATTAGACACAAAACTGGGGGAATTAATTGAAAATAAGCAGGTTGCAATGGCAGAGGGATTGTGATGAAGCTTCAAAGAGATGTTTTTAAGCACATCAACAAACCAAATACCTTTTTTGGGGGAGTCAAATGTTCAACTTTCACTTATTCCCTCAAGGCCCACCTTTTAAAGTGCTACCTTGTAAATAGCCTACAGTGGAGTCTACGTAAGGCGAGTGTCACACTGTGACCTCGCTGCTCTCAGACTGCAGCGGGAGCAGTGCCAGTGAATCAGGCCAGGTCTAAACGAGCGCGACAGCTCAGCTAAAGGCAGTCTGCTGAAGCAGCATGAAGCAGCACGGCTACATGACATGCAGCGACAAAGCTGGTGAGAGAGAAGAGAGAGAGAGAGCGAAAGAGAGCGCTCAGCAGCAAAAGTAGGAATACGGTAATTAGATAGAGAGACAATTGAAAGTTGTCCCCAAATATGCATGTTTATTCTCTTACTGACTGTTGAAAATGGGTGTGATTGGTGTACCCTGTGACTGCACCTGCAATTGCTGTAACTGCTGCATGGTGGCACCTTGCAGCATCTGATGGCCCGACAGAATAGAATGAGAAAATGTGATCCAGAGTTGGAAACACACTCCCCCCAATACTCATAAGCACGTGTCTGAGTGAGTGTGTGTGAGAAACCGTGTGATTATGTATGTGTGTGTGCTCTAGAGACCATTAACGAACTACGACGGCGTTTTAGAGCCGTTGTAGATTGTAAAAAAAACAACAACGGTAGAGTTGGGTTAGGGTGGTAATATTCAGAGAAAACCATCCCAGGATTAAAGTCCTTGATTTACGAGAAGAAACTTGATTATCTGAGATTATTAGGTCATAAATTTTAAAGAAAAAAACACAAGAAATTGGTCAAAATCGTAGAAACACCAGCCACGGTGGACATTGTATTTTAAATCCTCTCTAACGGAGGGCCTCTGGGCGAGGTGAAGGTCCCAAAAGATACAAAAACAAGTTCTTTCTTTTTTTCTCGTAAATTTTGATTTTATTCTCGGAATATTAACCCCCTACCAAGCTCTGTAATGTTTTTAACCTACAGTAGACCTATTAGGCCGTCATAAGAAACATCTACTGATTATTTTCTTTTAGCTCATTTCTCTATAGCCAATACAAATGGCACTAGTTAGGATGAGAAACACCGAAGAAAAACTGTAAAAATGTGCCTTTGATATGTACTTTTCAATGGTTTACATCTTTTTCTGCTGTGTGCTTCACTTATAAAAGCAAAGCGTACACTACTAACTCTATGATTTCAGAAAGTCAACCATGATTCTCACTACGTACGTATGATGTGTGTAAAGTTATGATATTGCAAAAATAGACAAGGAACACAAACAAACAAATTTCAATTAATCAGTTACAGAACATTTAGAAACATTTCATTTGATTTTCATCGTAATTCATATCAGTAAATAACTGTTCAGGTCAAATGTTTCCTCTGCAGGCTTTCAGAGGATGTGTGCCGTTAGTGATGTGGCCTGGGTGTGTTCTGAGGTTCAGATAATCCTGCTGGCAGTCAGCCGCTGAATGTGAGCTCAGACTAATGGTATAATGGTATGATAAAGCCAGGTGTGACGACTTGAGAAACAAGCCTTTTGCAGCATGATTACAAAGACGAGGTGGAGTTTAGAACTTGCTACATAATCCTTCATGTGTTACACGTCCTCAGAAAAACACACACACTTTCTTAAAGTTCAGGGAAGGCTTCATTAACTGGTATTTTCCGTGTCTGTGGCAGCAGTTAAGCCGCTCAGCTGTAGTCAGTGGGCTTCTCCACATCGCCATTATTATTGCTTAACATCCTCACACCCGGCTGTGGTGTCATTTAGGTGTTGCAGCTTATTTAAATCTTGGTGTGAGAGTACTTAATTGGTAAACTCGGTTCTAAGCTCTTCAAACAAGGCGTTAGTACTACCTGTCCTTGCTGTGGCTGAGCGATGATGATCTGTCCGGGCTGGATGGTGGTGGCTGTTTGTGCGCCTTGCTGCTGGCCCTGTTGTGTGCTCTGCACCTGTACGGCTCCAGGCTGCTGGGCCAAAGTGAAGTAGTACTGCACCGGCTCTGCTGGAGCTACCGACTGACGCATCTCCTCCTGATGATGAAACAACCAAACACACACACACACACACACACACACACACACACACACACACACACA